TTATTTTAAAATTGTGGTCCTTTTAAAGTATATAATTATAATCAGGAAGTGGTTTGTGTGTTATTTTAGCCAATTTTTCCTAATAAATGATTTCCATGATGCAGAAATATTGTTACAAAGGAAAGGCAGAGACAAACAAATGTCTAACAGTTAGGCGTGTATAATATTCTCTTGCAAATATAAACATATGTGCAAAAAGAAAAACACCAATAAGAAAACTACTTGCTCATAAAAGTGTCATTGCTTTCTCTGAAATTGCTAACATATATAATTTTGGTAGACATTAAAGCCTTCCTTCGGGTAAACATCTAACCATTGTTCACCTCCCACCTTGTATTATAATTATTTTTTTTATCTCTAATATAAGGCTATGAATTCCTTAAGGGTATATTTTATTCTCCTTGCATTATCCACAGTAGCTTGAATCATTCCTTACAGACAGTAAGCATCGCATAAATACATGTGTATATCTGGATGGATGGATGGGTGAATAATTGAAAGAATATGGATATTGGTTGGTTTTATTGTAATTGGGGCTCATTTTCCCTCTGAAGAAAAATATATTGATTTGGTACTTGATAGTATAAACTACTAGTAATTATAGCTGTACTGGTTATGAATAAAACAAGCAAACAAAAAATAACAAACACAAGAGCCTTTACCTAAAGCCACAAAGTGAACAAACAGATTTTCTTAATTAAAAATACCAAAATAATGGATAACTCTAAAATCTGGGATTTAGCTAGGTAACAAGTATCCCAACAAATTCTGGACATTAATTTTCTATTTTCTTTTAATAAATATATATATTAAAGGAGTTAGCCAAGATTCAGTTTAAGGAAGTCTAATGGTCTGTAATCATATATGCTTGTCAAATTAAAAGAGCTTTATCAAGTGTTCAGATAATGCTTGACAAACATTTTACTTAGCACAATTGAAGTATTTGTGATAATTTCTGGTTTCAGATTTTACTTGACTCATTTTGACTTGTAATCTTTAACTGTTAAGGATAGATTACCATATTTTTAAGGATGTAATCAAGAAAAACCTGTTATAAATATGTTTTAAGATTTTTCTCAAACCTTATTTTGAATTTCAAAGATTCTATTTTAAATGTTTTATACAAGATTCCTCAACAGTAGTGTGGAATAGGGGACAGGTAATCTTGGGGACTAAATCGACTAATATATGTTATTGAGTACGTACATGCTATGTGAATATAAAAAGTGCTTCTTAAATTGTAAAGTGAAATATCAATGCTGTTATGTTTTAGCAGCATGATAATGCTAATTTCTGATATTTAGACTGCCTTTCTAATAAATAATTACTCGTTTCTCTCTAGATGAAGTTTCATCATATCACAACTGAAGAACAAAATTATACACTTTTTAGACATACCACTGAGTAATCAGCTCCCTTCAGAAGGATGTTTTGGCTTAATAATGAAAACATTTTAGTAACTGAAATTATTACCCGCTGAGTTAATGTCACTATAATCTAAAACACAAAAATTTCCTAGAATAATACTCAAAGCCTTTTAACTGTTATTTCTTAATACATATTTTTATAAATAACATTTTTGATGTGAAAGGGTCATCATTTCTCATCCCTTTTCCCTCCCTCCTTCCCTTCTGTCCTTTCTTCTTTCCTTTCTTCTTGATTCTCTTCCTCTTCTGCTTTTCCATTCATCCTTTCTCTCGTCCCTCATCATTTCTTCCTCTTTTCTTTCTCTTCTACCCCTCCTTTGCAAGTACATTTAAACTACCAGTATTAAACATAAAGGAGATTTTCCATTTGCTCTCTATACTCAACTATACCTCTCTATACTGAACTAATAACATTTTACCCACCTCTTTAAAAAAATTATGTTAAGATTTGTTAAAATTGAATTTCACAGCCCCAAGAAAAGTAATAAGAAAGTGCCTCATACTTAGGGTGCATGCAATAAGGTTTGCTGTTGAAATTTTCTGTATTAAACTCTCGCTCATTAATGCCCTCTTCATTTATTCTGAAATTATGTCTGGAGTATATGTGGAACTGGCTATTTTATTTTACAATGCTACAATGTAACTCATTCATGAATAGTGCATTTGTTTTAAAAAAGAATGTAATGATTTTCCAAGAGTCTCCTATATTTGCTATAACTGATAAATAATATCTTATAGTTTCTGTTCATTCAGTTGTTAAAGTTTTCAAAACGTTTCAGTATAATCTCTTTCCAAATAGAACAACAAATGTCTTCTCCTGTAATATTTAGGAAATGTCATAGGACCTGAGTAAATATTTAAAAGGCATCTAATACTTATAGTAATACTTCTCGAAATGTCTGTTTGATGAGAGTCCACACAGATGGCAGGTGTTCTTACAGAGTATTTGGGAGAGGGAAAAATGAAACACTAATTAGTTCATACTTGCACCAGGAGCAATAAATTCTGTAATGCCATCAATTATGTTTATCAAGATGTCTTAAATTATTCACTGATCAGTGCAGGGATACACAGACAGAGGCAGTCGTTTGGAACATAGCAATATTGCTTGAAAATCCCACATTTTCCTAAATTTCTAGTATAGTGTAATGGTTGACTTATTGTTTGAGGAGACTTAGAATACTAGCAGGACGTGCTTGTTTCATGTTTCAAAAAAAGTTATTTGGCCATGATTGCTTTCTAAATAAAGATTTTTACAAATGACATGTAGTTCCAATTCCAAAGCCAAGAATATAGTCCTGTATTTTTTAATAGAAATTCCATACATTTAATCTGTAATTTAGAGTACAGATATGTGTTTTTATCCATAGTTACCACACCCTCTTCATCTGTATATATATGTGTGTGAGTGTTTGTATTGGTGTCTGTGTATCAACTGTACAATTCAATATATCATCTGTATATTGCATGTGTGTTTACCTCCCAAAGTTAAATTTCCTTCTGTCACCATATATTTGATACCCTATATCGCTGTCTACCTTCCCACTCTCCTCCTTCCCTCTGGTTAACTACTAAACTGTTGCATATATCATTACGGATAAATGTTTTCAAATTTTTTGGATAGATATCCAGAAAAGGGATTTCTGGGTCATATGATAATTCTATTCTCAATTTTTTGAGGAACCTCCATACTGTTTTCCATAATGTCTGTAGTGATTGACATTCCCACCAGCAGTGTATGAGGGTTCTTTTTCCCCCACAGCCTCTCCAATAATTACTTGCCTTGCTGATGATAGCCATTCTTACAGGTGTGAGGTGGTATCTCATTGTGGTTTTGATTTGCATTTTCCTAATAGGTAGAGAAGTTGAGGATACCTGTCCTTCTCAAACTCTCAAAAATTGAAGAAGAGGCAATGCTTCCTAACTCACTTTATGAGGTCAACATTACCCTGATGCTAAAACCTGTAAAGTATAACATAGAAAAGGATAATTACAGACCACTATCTCTGATGAATACAGATGCAAAACTCCTAAACAAAATACTAGCAGATAGAATACAATACATTAAAAAGATTATACCTGGTGTATTTCACTCAGCATTAGTTACTCTGTCCTCTCAGATGAGATCATTATCTGAGGGCCTGAAAAATAGCTACTCCCTCATTTCATCCCTCCCACCACCTTTCCCTTCACCCGCTACAGCAAGCCCTAAGCACAGTGTCAAGTTTCTCTTTATAGGTTAAAAAAAAAAATAGTTTGTGAAAGTGATTAAGCAACATTTAAATTTAAATCAGCAAGCATCCCACTAAGCTTCAGGACCAGAGTGTGTATATTTTGTTGTTTAAAAAAAACCACACAAAGCCATTTGCATCATTAAGATAATAGTTTAATATAAAAATGTTATTTCTTTCAGTACTTTAAAATTCACACACATCTCAAGTATAGATAGAGATTTGGGAGTTATCTTCAAGACATAGAGCTAGATAGAAGATGCAGTATATAGCTTTTAATGATCGCCTCCTTTCACATCAGTTTTCACATATTTTGGCTATATGACTTTAGGACAGTTTCTTAACCTTTCATTTTTTAGTATTCTCATCTATAAAATGGATACAACACATAAGATCATTGTAACTACTTAAGTATTTATTACTACATGTAAAGTAGGTAGAACAATGCCAGGCATATTAAAAACATGTAAATGAGGGCTGTGATTTTTATGGGAACATTTGAACTTTTGAACATAGACTTTCCTTTGTTTCTTCATTCTGGTTCAGTAGTTTTTGTAATGGAGTATACATAAGAGTTACTATATCTGGTTGCATTCTGTAATTTTCAAGATTGTGTGTATGTTTATTTTGTCCTGACTCTATAATATTTTATAGATATATAATACTTGAGACTTCACTATATAAAGTAGGTCCGAACACAGTTCAAGATACATTGTAGGATATTGAATAAATTGGGTTTAAGTAGTTACATTACTCTTTCTGGTTTATGCTAAAGTCAGTTTCTTCACTCCTTCAAAATGAGTAGATATTTTTATAATTCTCTCCTATTAATTGTTTTCTTCTTTTTTTTGCCTTTGAAGATTATTTTACTATTTTGTTAAGTGGAGTCAATGATGCTTATCTTTTATAGTTTGTCTGATAATGGAATTAATATATGATCATGAGAATTAAAAGAATAGTAACTGGCATAAGTAGGCATTCGATAATTAGTAGATCTTATTATTTCAGTATTATAATCAACTCATTAGCTATGTGATAGGTATCAATTAGTGTGCTACAGACTTGATTCCACCCAATTCTTTGAATACCTGCTTTTGTCAGATAGAGTTTTAAGTGACAGGAACTGCAGAATGAACATTATTGCAGTTCCTGCTCTCACAGAGTTTATATCATTGCCCAATATGTTTCTTAATAATATATCTAAATTAAGTGTTCAAATTCATTTTTATTTAGATCCTTTTAGATTGTTTCAATACATCATTGACTAGGCTTTCATTGTTAGAACTTTGTAGAGCATTTATCTTATTCATTGTGTGTGTGTTTTTTTTTTTTTCTATAACAGCTCTTTCAAGCATTTGATTGGAGGATTGGATGATGTTTCTAATAAAGCATATGAGGATGCAGAAGCTAAAGCAAAGTAAGTGACATTTTTTCCTTTGGCCTTAATCTTGTTTTAAAAATTGATTTTAAATAGAAATATGATCAAATATTTTGTTGGACTTAACAAAGCCCAACACTCTGATGGGAAGAAACTAATTACTTAGGAGGAAAAAGAAACAAACTATTCAAAGTAATTTTACATAGTTTCTTTACTTTTGTATAGACAATTATCTCAACAAGGAAAATGGTCAGTTTAAAACCCAATATAAACAATTGAATGTAAAGACATTATTTCCCCCACTAAAAATACTTAATAAAATGGTGGTTGTGTTCAATAGTTGTCTGTAAAATTGTATGGAAAATAATAAGACCGGAAATATTTCCCCATGTGGCTATGTCATTGCTTTATATTGAACTAATGACACTAAGTTATCAGAATGCTATGAGATAGTACATATCTCATTAATTATCATTTTTATATAACAATACAAATTTCTCTACTAAAACAAAGCTTAATTTTTTGACAAAGTTTTGAAGTAATTTGAGATTAGCTTATTCTGCAAAATTTTTAGGTTACTTATTAAAAATTTTAATCTGTATAATCCTCTCCTTTCCACAATGAAGTAGTTCAAGTAAAAATAATTTAGTGTTTGGTACCATAAAGGATATTTGAAGGATTTAATCAACAAAATTTATCAGTAAACAGATATTTCAGGGGTAGGATTGATTGGTTGGTTTTATACTAACCTACAAGCAAAATACACACATACATTCATATATACACACATATATCGTATATTTGTATATTTACCTTGAGGATCTATGAAGATTAAAAATTTGGTCTGGTAATAGAAAAAGTCAAAGGTCTTTCGAACTAAAGTATTCTTTGATTTCTATTTCCCTGTTAAATTTGGATTCACTAATTAAAGTTTTTGTATAACTTCTGTTTCCTCTATCCAATATTGAGGCCAATCACAGACTTAAAATTGATCAGCTATGGGAAAGCAATTGTGAATTAGTTATATATGTCTCAATGTACTATTAAATTTGTAAGGATAACTGTGTGTAGCTCATGAATGCTGGGCATTTATGGGTTCACTTTTACATATTTCAATGAAAGATAGTAAGAAAACAAAGTCACCGAAATTCAGATTCAGATATTTAGAGGATAGCTGTGGCGACAGTTCTTCACATTGACAGAGAATAGGTCAGTATGAAAAATATGATCCTGAGGAAGAGCTGGAAGCCTGGAGTTCTGCTCCTGACCCTGTCATTCTCAACCAAGTGACTTTGGCCGTGACTTAACACCTCCCTCTCAATCTCATTATCTGATCTTCAAAATAGTATTTTTGTGATATAATTGATGGCAATATGTGAAAATACTTTCTAAAGTATAAAGGAATATAAAAGTGGATGATATTGCTGGTAGAAGTAATCATTGGAACTATAACCAAATGCATTTGATATATGGTTTGAATTACAGATAAAATGATTGCATATCTATTATGTAAAAAATATTTTATCTGTGCAAGAATTCTTTAATCTTATGTAGGCAACTACTGTCACTTTGGTAGCATATCATAAAATTAAACCTAGCCTGATACTATTTATAAATATTATTTTTATAAAAATAGTAACATTTAGTTAAAAAGTTTAATTATAATTAAAGAACAAAGAAGGGCAATGGAATGACTATATCAAAATGATTAAAATATTGTTATTTGAGTCATAAAGTTGACAAGATTATAAATTAGCCCTTATATTTTTATTCTTGAATTTTAAAAAGTGAAATTAGTTTGAATTTTTCTGTTCAATTAACACTAAATCCAAATGAATGTGTAACCCACATTCCTTAATAGTAATAATTATTTAGAAAATGAAAATAACTTGATGAAAAAAAGTCTAAAATCATTGATCCAAATGCTAGAGAGATTGATAATATCACCTTTATTCTTCAAAATAGCCATGTAAATAAATACATATGTATGTATATAAGTATATACATACATACATGCTAGAAGAGGTATTGTTATGCTTTTTACAGTGTTAGTATTTTATAGCTTTCTAATAATTAATACCTAAAGATTTCTAAAGTTGACATTATCTTTTTAAATTAGATATCCTATTACTCAGAGAAGGTAAATTGGAATTATTCCCCAGGGAAAGCTTTTAGTTGAACTAACAAGTTTAAACATCTATTTGAGTTAGCATTGTTGTCTCTCTCTATTGAATTTCTTTCTCTTAAACACATTGTGACTTCACTTTGTATTTTAGGAACTTATAAGGTTTGCCATTATTGCAGGGATTAGTACAAGGCTTTAATTTCTCCAAAGTCTCTGTATAATTCTGTTAATACCTCTAAATTTCTATATAGATCAGAAAATCTATACCACTTAGAAGTGTAATGTTGCTTTAGCTCCTCTGTGTAAGCTTTATTTTTTTCCAAGGTCCCCTTGATTTTGCAAAATTCACTAAAGGTAAGATTAGTATTTCTTAAAACCCAACTGAAATGATATTATTTATCCATGTAAAATTTTTGATGGTATTGTCTTACTGACTATGCCTATTTGGGTAAAAGGAAAAAAAAGTAGAACTGACTATAAAGATCGATTTCGTTGAGACATTTAGAAACTCTATTATGAGAAACAATTAAGCTGTTAGCATAATCAGGCTTCAATGGCAGAATGATTTCACAAAGTATACAGATCATCCCTTTCAGAAAAACTATACCAAGGATTTGGCTCCGGTATCTGGTCCAGGGAGACTGACTTGAGAGAACTGTCCCAGTGAAATGGCTTTCAAAATGCCTCTACTGCAGAATTTGTGCCCTCAGATATATTTCGTACAAAGAAAATTATTCTTGACAAAAACTACCTTTATGGCATGTTTAAGCTTCTCTTGATTGCTGCTAATTATCAACTTAGGGCTTCCCTTCTTAAATCTGAAGTTATAATTATAAAACATTAGAAGAGACAACATCCAATCACAGCTAAGGATCATTATACCTTATTTAGAGCAGAAAGTAGCATATTCTGATGAAAGATACACTTGCTTTTCCTTTAAGAATATGTACTCATTCATTTAATAAACATTTAGAAATTTACTTATGATGAGTGAGGCATTATGCTTTATAATGTACATATGAAATAGAAAACTATTTTCTAATATTAAGGATTTTGTAGTTTAGTGGGAGAACTGATGTGTAACTCAATGATTATTTTTACTATTCAGTTCTAGGAATGTTATGATACTTATTGTGATATATCACTGGGTAGAGAGATCTCCATAGTTACACCTTGTCTTATAAAAATGTAACCATCCAGAATTATCAAATAGAAAAAGTAAATGTTTTACTTCACTAAAAGTATTCCTGATATATAAATACAAGTTATTTCTTAAATATAATATTTTTTATTAAAAATATTGAGGTAAAATTTTTTAATAACGTTATATGTTTCAGGTGTAAAATTGTACAGTATGTCATCTGTATGTTTTATTGTGTGTTCGTAATTCAAAGGTAAACTCCCTCTGTCATCATATATTTGAATCCCTTTACTCTCTTCATCCTCCCCCCAACCCCCCTTGCCCTCTGGTAACTCCTATATTGTTGTTTATGTCTGTGAGTTTGTTTGTTTTGCTTGTTTGTTGCTTTCTGTTTTATATTCTACATATGAGTAAAATCATGTGGTTCTCAAGTTTATCTATCTGACTTACTTTGTTTAGCATGATAATCTTAAGATCCATTCATGTTGTTGCAAATGGCATCTTTCTTTAGTTGTTAAGTAGTAGTCTATTGTATATATGTACTACATCTTTATCCATCATCAGTCAAAGGACACATAGGTTGTTTATATTCTCTGGCTATTGTGAATAATGCTGAAATAAACATAGGGGTACATATGTCTTTATGAGTAAGTGTTTTCAGTTTTGGGGGCTAGGTAGCCTGAAGAGGGATTCAAGTTATACTATCATTGATGTCTTAATTGCTGAGTACTTTACTCTGCAGTTATAAGCAAAACAGCTCTTTTTCTGAATAAACATACAATATATATTTATTTACTTCAGCTTAGCTCGTTAATTATACTTAAACATAAAAATCTTTTATTTGAAAGTTGCTTTCTAATAAGGTGATTTACATATGCCACAGCTATATTATCAGATTATGGTCATACAGAGGGGGAAAACAAAACAATAGTCAATGTTTTATTTATAATGATGTCTATTTTTATTAAAATGTGTATTTTTACTTCAATAGAAATAATATAGTGAAAAAATAATATAGAAAAATAATCAGTCTAAACTAATCAAGAACAACTGCTGTTAACTATCTTTGTGTTTTAAAATTATAGCACATTTATAACTTTGTATCAGCATTTTTCTATTTAGCACCCATAATATTATAAACATTTATAATACTGTTATATAATACTGTTACACTTCATTAATGTCATTTTGGTGAAGGCCTGATAACACAATGAATGGACATCTAGTATTTTAGACTGATTCATGTTGTAGCCTTGTTGATTTAATTCATTGTGCTTTTAAAGTTCTCAATCACTTCCGTAAAAAGAAAGAGAAAAAAGAGCACAAAACAACAAAAAGTCCCTTCAAATTGGTTCCATCTAAAAGCACTTTCAAACTGTTTTATGTCATAACACTCATAGAAAATGAGTATAGAATATTGCTGAAGGGATCCATATCTAAGCCCTCTAGTGGAGCAGCTCTGACAGCTACATGAATATAGATTTGTCAGTATATTTATTTATGACCAAAGTCGGTGGTTCTCAGTATTATTCTCCATGCGGAACTCTTTCTCAAGACAAAATCTATGTAAACCTCCAAATGAATGTAGTCATATTTTTAAATCACTAATATCACTTGTTGTATCGATTCAAAGCCTCCCCACAGTGACTCTGTAGCTCCTCATGTACCAGCCTTACCCAAGTTCATTCATTTTGTGTATGTATTCATTTATCCAAGAAATATTTTCTGTGTGCCTACAAAATGCTACATATAATGGAGTTTAAAATAGATATG